CTTAAGTACACAAAATATCAGATAAATTTAAGACTAAAGGAATTTTCTTAGAGGAGACTTTAACTTTTACCAACGTAATTTTATTATAAGACACTTGTACTGTCACTCTATTGTTACTTTGAAGTATTTTGTACAAACGCTTCGATATTCTTTGTGTTTCAGATTTACTTTATTTGTTACCACAGTAACTGAAGATGCTGCAGGTTTTGTAAGCATCAAATCCACCACCAGATGGCAACAAAATGTAAACCAGATGGTTTTTTTCCTCAAGCATAAATGTTGCTTATGAATCCTGAAGTGATTGATTATTTTTAATATCTTGTATCCATTCTTTTCACAAGAAGATTCCCATCTTCATCCAATTAACTCAACTAAAAAAACAATAAAAATGAGGAGAACTGTGTCTGAGTGATCATCAGTCTTGCAGCCTGATCTAAATCCTTTCACTGTCATATTTTAGGTTTTATTTTCCAACAGTGAGAGCAGTGAGTGATAAAGACTTTTTACTGCTGTGCTTTTATTAAGATTTGACATTTCTCTGTTTTTACCAGGACTCTCTAACATTCTCCTTCATTATGGGACAGAAGTGTGAGATGTCCTCTATGCTCTTCAACCAGATGGTCCACTCTGCACCGAGCCTCTCCTGGAGCGCACAAGTCCTTTCATGTCGGGCAGCAGCCTGGCAGACAGCTGTGGGGGGCCGGGGGGAGTCTAGACAGAACTTCTTCAGCTGGAAGTTCAAAAACCCCACAGAGTTCTTGCTCTTAGATCTTCTGGTGCTCTGGGCCTGGTCGTTCAGCTTTTTTGCAAGTTAAAAAAAATCAAAATCATCGTCACCATCTGGATGTCTGACAAATCCGTTTTGCTGAACAGATTTTTATCCGTGGGAGCTGCATGCTGATATCTGCAGAAATATTGTTGACATTTTCCAAGACAAACAACAGCCTGATGGTTCCAGCTTCTCTGCTGCGTCTGTGGTGTTTTACACTGATCTGAAACACTTTGCGTGGGCTCTGTGGGTAGAACCAGTTACAGCTGTCAGGGATGTAATTTGTTTCTACAGTATAGAACCATCTCCAAAACCATACATAAGTTAGATAACAAAAAAAAAACTTTCCTGCAGGAAAGGGTTACTGTATATAGATTTTCATATTTCCTCATTTGCACCTTCAAACTTTCAGTTGTACATGTCCTGATGCATCTCAGTAATCCAGGTAGAAAAAATATAAGTAGGTCCTCTGGATGGGTTCTTCTTTAGTGAAACGTTTCATCTCTCCTCCAAGAGACTTCTTCAGTCTGATGAGTTTCAGGTGATTTCAGCCGTATAAGCACTGCCTCCACATGGTGGACAAACAGGTTAGTCACATGCAAAAGAGGGACATCGCCTAACAATAGGCTTGATTTGCTCTATTGTTCATAGAGGGTCATGTGCCCCATCACCTGACTTATTGGTTTGGATGCTGTGTTTTTTAGGTGTTGTGTTATGTGTATGTAGTGAGTGCAGGCGGGGCTTGATGTCCCCTTGATTTTGTCTTTTTTTCCTGTCTATTGTTAAGCAATGGCCCTGTTTTGCATGTGACTAAATAGAGCTAATCAATCCTATTGTTAGGCGATGGCCCTCTTTTGCATGTGACTAACCTGTTTGTCCATGTGGAGGCAGTGCTTATGAGGCTGAGTTCACCTGAAACTCATCAAACTGAAGAAGTCTCTTGGAGGAGAGATGAAACGTTTCACTAAAGAAGAACCCATCCAGAGGACCTACTTATTTTTTCTTTTTGATTTCAGTTGTACAAACTTCTACACCAGCAGAAAAAATAGAAATGTAAACATTATTGCTATAAAACCCCTTCAGATTTCTGCCCAATCAGATAATAGTTCTCAGACACCACAAAAAAAAAAAGTCATGCTTTTCTTTCATCTCCAAGGGAGAGAACAAATTTGTCACTTCTTGTGAAGCACAGCAGCCAGAACCGAGGCTCTAATAACCTCACCTGTGTTCTCACACAGTGAATCTGGTGTTTCTACTCTGCTCCCAGCAGATCCAGCTATTTCTGTTCCACTGGGTGCATTTGAACGGGCCTGTTTTGTTTGTTTTCTTCTGGGCCTCAGACTGGTCCAGTTGTCCACCACCCCATGTGATGTTAGAGTATCATGAAAAACTTGAGCTGGAAGGATGAGGGCTTTGTAATCAGTGTGATTCCATCAGGGCCCCTAGATTCAGTGTGGAAATAAAAAAAATGCACCATAGTTATCAAAACAAGACACCATAATACATCCCACTCCTTGCACCGGGTTCATACCCTTTATGTACCAAGTACATACCCTGTAAATACCAGATACATACAGTATGAACTATCTGGTAAGTACATGATATGGACAAAGTAAATACTAGGGATATACTGGGTAAGAACCACATGAGCAATAGGTATATACAGGTAATTACCATGTAAGTTTGTGAAAATCATGTACATCTCCATCTTCTACTGCTTAACTGTGACTGGTAAATACTGTCACCTACATGGTACTTACCAGCACCATGTAAAGTAGTCTGTGTTTATTTAATTGTACCGTGTGCCATGTCTTAGTCGTAGTCATCACTAGTAATTACTAGGTACTTACCAAGTATGCATCTGGTATGTACCCTGCAAATACAGGTACATATGTACTAAGTATTAGGTATATTGTTTGTATAAGGTAAATACTAGGTCCTGGGTAAGTACCATGTGAGCAACAGGCAGAGTTGTAAAGTAACTACGTACAAATACTTTGTTACTGTACTTAAGTAGAATTTTTGGGTATCTGTACTTTTACAGATAATTTTCTGGTAAGATACTTGTACTTTTACTCAAGTATCACTTTGTGGTACTTTATACAACACTGACAACAGGTAAGTATCCAGTAAGTAAAAAGTATTCTATACATACCCGGTATGCACCAGGTACATGCTTAGTAATTACCATGTCCTTACCAGGTAATACTAGGTAAGTACCAACAAAGTACCATGTATGTATTGAGCTGTATGATGTTTTGCTGCCCAAAATAAAATCTGTCATGTTCATCCGGACTAAAATGATGAAACTTATAGAAATACTTGTACCGTATGAGACAAACAGCAGAACATAAAGGCAGCTGGAACACGACAGTACAAATATCTGTTCATGTGCTGGAAATGACACCATGCTGGAAGTGAAGTGTGCCAACAAAAGCAGCCGAGTTGTCTCACAGAACAAGGTAAACTAATGAAGAGAGACATCACATTACTCACACACGAGGTCACACACCAGCCATCTATTGCAAAGGAAGCTTTATTGCCAGTGACAACTGAGGAAATGTTCACAAATAATTTGTTCTCTGACAATTCACAACCTTTTCAACGTTGGTTTTCAAGGTACCAGAGTTCTGTAGTCCAGCAGGTCTTGCAGACACAAGTCTCATGACTTTCTCTGGCTGGGGTACCTCTGCACGTCAGTGTCATGGCATATCTCCTAATAAACAGAACAACACATCCATGAAGCCTCAGGCATGGCTTTCTACGAGGATACAATCACAGATACAATGGCACTTCATACAAATCAGGAAAGAACGGCACAGAACCGGCAGAATGTAGTTTGATAGTGACAAACCTGTCAAGGACGGCACTTTTCTTATACAGGTCGTTTGTTTTGCTTTTTAGCTGTTTCACCATTTAGACCAGTGGTTCCCAACCCTGGTCCTCAAGGACCCCTATCCAGCATGTTTTACTTGTTTCCCCGCTATTCAGCAGGTCTTCAGAAGATCGTTAATCACTCATTCATTCAAACCAGGTGTGTTAAATCAGGGAAACCTCTAAAAGTCACTGCTTTAAATGTTGACCAACACCTCAAGAGCTTCTCTGAGCTTGATGAGATATTTTAAAAATATAATATTGACTTAGTTTTATGTTTTTAGTATTGTCTCTGGAAGCCATTGATTCTTTGCCATTTATTTGTAAATAATAAATCAGATAACATGTATTAAAGCAGTGATTCTCAACCCTGGTCCTCAAGGACTCATTTTCTGCATGTTTAGATGTTTCCCTGATTTAACACACCTGGTTTGAATGAATGAGTGATTAACAATCTTCTGAAGACCTGCTGAAGAGCAGGGAAACAAGTAAAACATGCTGGGTAGGGGTCCTTGAGGACCAGGGTTGGGAACTAGGATAAAAGAAAAGCCACTGGACAATTAATAATAATAATATAAAAGAAAATAAAACAAGTGATCGGGACAACTTTTAAAAACTGTGGGTTAAGTATAGCTTTTTGAATGAATTTAATGGAAGATCTGATTTTATTGTTAGCATTATACCGAGAAAACAACAAATTATTCAATTAATATTGCACTTTTCGTCAACTCACAGGAACGGCAGTAACATGAGCACAGCATCTGAAGACTTGGGAGCTCTCGCATCGTTGTCACAGCAACGCTGCTGTAAAAGCTAAGAGTGTGAGAAAACCACGATGGGCGGTCTCTCTGTGTGTGTGTGTGTGTGTGTGTGTGTGTGTGGAGGAGATACACACATTTCGGGTTTTAAAAAACAAGATATTTCCAAGTGACTGGACATGAAATGAAACGAGTTAAAATAAAGCCTCCCTTCAAAGGTGTTTGCTCCTCATTCGGCAGTTTGAAACAGGAATCACTGTTTTCTGATGAAGAGCAGTGCAGGATTACCTCTCCCCTCACCAGTACCTACAGCCTGGGTTAGTGGAGACTGAAAGTAGTTAATATGTTCTTTGGTTCACACACCTGCACATCACCCTAACCCTAACTCTATGATAAAAATCTTTCATAAATTTTAATTTTTACTTCTATATGGGAATAAACTCTTTTCTACTAGCTTTTATATTTTCTATAGACTGGAATATGGAAGTTAGAGAAACATAAAAAATACTGCATGTCTCTACTTGTGTGTTTAAAACTCCTATCTTATTGCACATTTACAATGCATGACTCACAAGGAACACAGCCATGTTAGATATTAAACATACCACTCGGTCAGACGCTTATAACTGACCTGCACCTGGCTTTGAACCGATCATGCAAAAACAAAAAATAAATATCTACTGTATATTAGTAAGAAAATAATCACCACTACAGCCATACACACCCACTTATCCTTACACATATTAGCATATACAGAATGTTCCAAAGTTCAAGAGATATCTAGAAGTACACATCAAATAAAAAAATAAATTAAAGTTAAACCAAACCACTGAGCAAATGAAAAGTTCATAGCAGGGTCAAACAGGAACCAGAGAGCAGCACTGAACTCAGTGTAGGCACAATCTTCATTTTACACATTATCAACAACAGATCCAAACAGAAACAAAACAAAAATCCCCACAGCTACTAGAACACAGGTGAGTACACAAACCAACAGGTGAACAGGTTAGACGGTACGACTGGACACTGCATAGAGTTCAAAACTAAAACAGTCCAGGCCGGTTTCCTCCCTCCCTTTTTAAAGATCTGACCCTACAGCTGGCAGCATCCACACAAAACACGTCGGTACTTGTGTTGGGCTCAGGTTCACTCCGTCCCCTGGGCTCTGACGGTACTGCTCCTCCTCCCCGGGGTCTCTTCAGTTGGCCTGGACTGGTTTTGGACCCACAGCGACGCCGTTACAGTCGAGAATATACTGCAAGCAACCTTGAGGTGGACGCCCGGCGCCGTTCTTGGTGAGCTCGCCAGTGACCTCGCCCTTCTGACCAGCTCCCTAAAAAAACAACAAAAAGGAAGAGAGCACATGATTACAGCTGGGCATGGACAAAACGAAGAAGTGTCCCTGGTGTCGAACCTCATGTTTTTGTACCCAGAACTGTAAAGTAACTAAGTACAAATACTTCTTTACTGTACTTAAGAATTTTTGGGTATCTGTACTTTACTTGAGTAATTATTTTTCAGCCTACCTTCTACTTACATTTTTTAAAAAGGCAAAAAGTAGAAAGTCGTTACTTTTATTTCATTTTTGCTTGTTTTCATTCCAGCTTGTTATTGTAAAACATGCGTAATTACTATCCTGTGCCTCCTAGTTAGAGTGAATTTAATTGTGGTTGAATGAGAAGTATAGATATATAAAATTCTGATACTGTATTAGTTTGTACACAAACAAATCATGTCACACTCCAGCAGGACAGAATCATTAAAATAAAAGAACTGTACTTAAGAAGTATTTGTATTTCATGAATTATATTATTGTATTTGGTCGCAGCCCTCAGATGGATTTTCATTTTGAGGAAAAGGTTTGGTCACCCTTGACATATGTATATAAACTAAAACAGTTAGACTAGTGCATCCTAAATTTAACATAAATTAATTATTTTTAATACGATATAGTAATTTCTGCAATTTTTGGGGGAGGTCACCTCTTAATAAATGTCATTACAGAAAATCTAACTGCTCATTTTAAATCAATACTTTTACTTTTAATACTTAAGTACAAAAAATATCAGATACTTTAAGACTTTTACTCAAGTAATATTCCTAAAGAAGACTTCAACTTTTACCAAAGTAATTTTTTGGTAAGATATTTGTACTTTTACTCAAGTATTACTTTGTGGTACTTTATACAACACTGTTTGTACCTGGGATGGTTGTATGGTGGTGGGTCTCTGAGGAGCATTAGCTTCTCTCTCCACTAACTGGTTCAGTTTTGCCAAAACCAACTCAGTGATCAGCTGCCGGTCCTCAGCCTGGTGCTCTCCAACCAGCGGCATGGAGGAACCAACGGCCTGCGCCAAATGGAGATGGTTATATGGGGCAAAGAAACTGAATAAAGAGCTGTTTGTTCATTCAAACAGGTTGGTATCTTCCAGAAGCATCACTATAGATCATTCACGTTGACTGCAGCTTTTAGTCCTGCCCATCTCAGATTCCTACCTCGGTGATGTAATCTCTGCCGTCTTTCCCATGGATTGCTTTAACTGCACAAATGTCCAGACCTCCGAAAATCTCAGAGCAGGTGTCGACCCACAGCTTGTACCTGAACAAAGCAATCAAAACATGACTCAGAACGCACTGTATCAGGTGACTGTTTTGTTTTTCACTCAAAACTGAACAGTTGAGAAACTGAAACAGAAATACTTTGGAGTGGTGATTGACAGGCGTGGTTCATGGCTGACATCTAGGTGCTGTTAAAGTCACGTATTGTGAATGCCTTGTGTGTGATGTGCTGTCATCAGTCTTAAAATGTATAGAAATAGACTAATTTTAATATAATTAAACATCCATCCATTCATCCATTATCTGTTGCTTGTTTCTGACTCAGGTTTCAGGGCAGCAGCTTCAGCAGGAAGACCCAGATATCTCTTTCCAGAGCCACAAGCTCTTCCGGGAGGATTCCAAGATGCTTCTCTGTCAACTGAGAGACCATCTCTCCAGTGTGTCCTGGGTCTTCTTCATGGTCTACTCTGGACACCTTCCTATGGAGGTTGCCAGGAGGTATCTTTACCGGATGCACAAACAACCAGCAGCAGCTCTACTCCGAGCCACCTAAACCTACAGAGTTAACTCAGTTTGACTGATAGTATCCACAGTCTCGCTCGATTCTCAGAGTCCGACGGATGAACAGAGAGCTTTGCCTTTCAACTACTCCTCACCCCAATGGACCAGTCAAGAGTCTGCAATACTGCAGAAGCTGCACCAGTTCATCTGTCAGTCTCACTCCTTGTTTTTCCTTCACTCGTGAACAAAACACTGAGATACTTCAACACCTCAACTTGAGGCAGAACCTCATTCCCAACTGGAGACTCCGATTTAAAGGGGCAATATCATGTAAAATCAACTTTTTTGAGTTTTATATCATGTTGTAATGTTATACTCTCATAAAAAAACATGCCCAAAGCCTTGCTCTGACTCATTCATGCATGTTTGAGAAATTCTGCAGCGTTTTTAGGAAGCCATGCTGAGGAGCAAAACGACAGGTGGGGACCAGAAACGCCCCTGGGACGTGTCTTTAAGTCGAGCTTCCTCATCACGGAGCACACCTCCCCACCCCCCACCCCCCACACCCTGCCCATGACTCCTGCTGGCTCTCAGCAGTAACATAGCAAACGAGTGAAACTGAAAGTGAAACTTAAACTGTCTGCTGAGCTCCTAACACTAGTTCTGTGAAGCTGTTTTTAGATTCAAAATACCTTTGAGGAAAAGTATTTTCAGATGCCAAGTAAACTGCATCATAGCGCATGCCACCCCCCCCACTGAAATGGGTGGGACAGAAGTGGAAGGTGGTTCTTAAAGAGACAGAGGCCAATTTCAAGGTGTTTAGAAGAGGAAGTGATGAGAAGATGAGTTTATTTTCTATTTAAACATAAAACAGCATTTTAATAACAGCTAAAGGTGACATAGATACTTTATTATGGTATAGTATTTAAATATATGCCTGAGAAACACATAATAGTGGCCCTTTAAAGTGCTTTTTCTCATTTTATCTGCTTAATCACACAGCACTGTGATCCGTTCCCGTGAGAGCTGAAGATCACGGCACAATGACACAGGACCACATCACCTGCAAATAGTTGAGACGAAATCCTGAGGTCCCGAGGTCTTGACTGCACCAAGAAATTCTGTCCATAAAAGTTATGAACAGAATTAGTGGCAATCAGCAGCCCTGGCAAAGTCTTACTCCCACCTTGAAAGAGTCTGAACAAACCAGACAGTCATACAGCTACAGAAACAGACCCCCAATCTCAGGGAATAAGCTCAAATGCCTTATTCAAGTCCACAAAACACGTATAAACTGGTTAGACAAACTCCCATGCCCATGCTTTTGGCTGGGTTCATGTTTTTCCTCAGAGGCCATGGTCTGCTGCCATGCTGCAATAATTTAGGTTGTCATAGAGCACCTACCAAGATAGCGGCACAAATTCTGACCTCGTTAGCATAAACTGCAATGTGATCGGCCTTTCCAGAATACTCCTGTATGTCAGTACATTACAGCATGTGGAATACACTGTTTATTCTGAGAATTTTTGTCAAGATGGGACTTGATTTTACCGATCAGTCATGGCCACCTGTTCAAGCATAGCAGAGCCCGTGTTGGTCTTCCAGTTACCAGATATGGATGTTCTCCTGAGGAACATAAAACATGCTTTAAGTTCATTTTTTCCTTTTTTTGCGGGGGTTAATGAATCTTAGCAAGATCGGCATAATTCTACATACATGTAGGCTTTGTAGTCAGTGCCGATCTTCTGGATTCTGATGTCGTATTTAGAGTCGATGAGAGGCTCTGTGACGGTGTAGGTCTGGGTGAGGGCCACGACACTGGCTATGTCCTGGAACTTACTGTGATTGTCCACCTTCACCTGTACACAAAACCATCAAACACACAAAAAAAAATGAGCACCTATAGTGTAGCATTACTTAATATGGAGAAAATGTAATAAAGAAACATACCTTGCCCATTCCGGAGTGGGCGTGTCCAATCTTTACAACAACAGGAAACGATGGCATGCTTACCTAGATAATAAAACTGCTGTGTTATTACATTTTCTTGCATTTTATGGCTTTATTTCTTTTGTTCATAAACTTGTGATTTTATTTTTCGAAAGGGAATATTTGCAATTGGGTCCTCACCATCTCCTTGTAGTTTGGGTAAAAGGTCTGTTCAATGAGAGGGAACTTCTCAGCCCCTAGTTTCCTGCACGTGTTGATAAGCTGAGCAAACTGCACAAACACAAGAGGAAACATTTCAGACATTAAATGGAAATCAACTCAGAAACCCACAGCCTGACAAATAAAAACAAGGTAGAAAGCCCGCCAAAAATTAATTTTCTCTGCCGGACACATTGTTTAAGGATAAAGAACTTCTTGGCTGCTGAGTGCTTACTGCCCACGGCTTGTCACAAAGATTATAGATGGACTCGAGGGAGTTGATGCTCGGGACGCCTCCGTACTGCAGACCGATGATCAGGTTGCGAAAATCTTCATTCTGGGTCATACTGAAGGCGTGTTGGCGAATGAGAACGAAGTCTGGCTTGAAGGATCTGGAGAAACAGAACAACAGGAGAAATGCGACCAAAACTGACCAGCATGTTGTCGACGTGGATGAGTCAGGCTGAGTCTCAGTGGGCGGTAAAAGCTTCATCAAAAACAGTGATGCACTGAAAAATGCATCTGTTCATTTGTGAGTCTTTTGTTGTTGTGTCGCCGTGTCTCACCTGACAACCTTGGTGCCATTTCGGAGGACTTGCATGTTCACGCTGCAGACTCCGTTGGCGTGAGCCACAACATTGATCTCATTGAATTCCGCCTAAAATCACAAAAGCAGAAAGTTACATGAGGACAAACGGTTTAATTCTCTGCATTTCATGAGAGCTTGAAACGTACCTGCTCCACTTTGATGTCGTAATCCCCGTGTACTTTCTTTCCTCTGAATAATTTCGCCCTGGGTGGAAAATATTTAAGTTTTACTAAAACAACAGAATAAACAAACTTTTAAACACAGATTTTTAGTAAACGTTATAACTAATGACATTTCATAAACTTTTAAATGTCACCTGTTTGGTTAAAATTTGAAAATGATGTCTCAATTGAGGTGTGTTGGCTTTCAGAGAATGTGATTTGAATAACTCTCAGCTACTATCACACAACATTTCTGCTCAACATCTGTAAAGACGCTTGAGTTAGACCCATTTTTGTGTGGGCTAAGGTTAGTTAGCTGCGGCAGCCATCTTTATTTTATTCCCAAAGTTAATCAGCTCTAGTCATTTATTAACCTTTATTTAACCAAGCAAGGGAGGTCTGGCAGCCTAACATACATTTATTTATTTATTTTTTTGTCTGTGGGAGGAAACTGGAGTACCTGGAGAAAATCACTGCAAACATCACACAGACCCCCCCCCCCCCCCCCCCCCAGATCCAAACTGGGGATCGAACGCAAGATCTGCTTGCTGTGAGACAACAGTGCTAACCACCAATCCATCGTGCTGACTCTAGATGTCAGAGATTACTTTCAGAGAGTTTCCTTAATGGTTCTTGAGATATTTTGCTAACAGACAGAGTTGAAGCCAATTTAGCCGTGAAACCTCCCACACTAATGACAGGTGTTTCAGTTTCACTGTTGGATGTACAGGGCTTACCCTATACATCCAACAAATAAACTGCAGCAGTTTCATTCAAAACTGTTCTCTGGTTCACGAGATATTTTGCTAACAGACAAACATGCACACACAAACAAAAAGACACTATCATTACCCGCCTTTTGCTTTTCTCCAGCAGGCAATAATAATGTGTTTTTTGAGACAAGCAGAGTTGTAGGTCAGTTAAATATTAATGATACTGACTGAGCAACACAGCATCTCTGACACGTCCTCCCTTCAGTCAGGCAACAAAGAACGCTCTGAAACATTACGCAACACTTTCAAAGGATGACATATTAGAAGCAAGAAGAAAAAGTTTGGTTCAGGAGGAGCGTGTTCACGTGAACAAGGTGTGTTTTAACATGATCACAACTGGATTACTGAGACGATGCTGCTGCTGCGTCAGGTTAACATGCAGGAGTCCTACCCTGCAGCAGAACTTTCAACTATAAAAAAAGACAAACCAAAGTGTCCGTCTCCATCTATTTTCTCGAGTTGCCATGGTGAAGGCTTCATTTGGCTCCACAGTAGCGACAGCACCTACTGCAGCACAGCAGTGGTACAGACTGTACACTGCTTCAGCCCATCAGAACTTGGAGAATGCACACATTTCAAGGGGAGCTCTGTGTGCGTTCACATATTTTGTCAACATATTTTCAAAGCTCTTTCACTTCCTCTCAGTCTGAATCCCCCTGCTGTCACATAACTTGCGCTCGCTGCTGATTAAGCCAGGGCTTTAAAGCTGAATAATGCATCCACGGGCTAATTAGAGCACCGGGAGGAGAACAGGCATTAAAATATGTATTTGGTGAAACTCAAACGCCTGAATGAGTCACAAAGAAAACAGGCCTCTGCTTTCATTTTTAGGCTTTTATTTCTGAACAGAGATGTGTGAGGAGGGTAAATCGTGTGAATTGATTGATGTGTTATCAGCTAACATCAGCCACGAGTTTAAAGTGATGATGTTTCAGTGCAGTGCATTCATATGGATTAAGGGACATTGCATTTTCTGCAAAAATGCTGTGAGAATCCTTAGTGCAGAGTTACAATGAAAATGAAGCTTAAACTGAGTTGTTAAAGCTGAAAATACAGTAGATAAAAGTTAAAGCATACACCAAAAAAGAAAATACAAGACAAAAAGAGTCAAATACAATGTCAATAGCAATAAGTCACAAAACATTAGCCTAAAGCTAAATGCAATAAAATGCTTGCTAGCCCAGTCTGGCCAAAGTCTGGCCCACATGCACAACACTCGGATTAAACCCTGCAAAGAATGATGGCCCTTTGGTGGCTGGACTGTCTGGTTTGCCAGAAGTGGTCCATGCTTGGGCTGGCACCACATAAACCGAACCACATGGGCCACTTGTGGAATGCCATCATAAAAACAAAGCCATCATTACCAGAACTGGCCCACATCTTGTTAACAAACCACTTGCCATGCCAGCAGTCAGCCATAGAGCTAGTCTGACACACCAGATCTGGCCCACACCTGCCTGCTACTGTATGTGGGAAAAGTTATAAAAAGCTAGCTAAAAGCTAAAAGTGGCAAATTGCGTTTAAAGAGCAAAATATTTGCAACAAACAATTAGCTAAAATTAACTAAAGGCTAGTAGTTAAAGATTAAAGTCACTAATAAGATAATGGCTGTATCTGCATCCTTCAAAGATCAAATTTGTCAGCTGCTTGTGTCACTGTGCGCCACCAAAGTTTGTCTGAATTTGAAGACTCCTCCCATTGCAGCCCACACATGCATCCTCCTTTTTCCCTGGTTTGAGGAACGGGTCTGTTCTGGGCCCAGCCCATCGTAAGATGCATTGCAGGCCCAGAAGGAGTTTTTTTTTTATTTTTTTATTTTGCTTGTAATGGTGGATGAAGTGAGAGAAAGGAATATAGTTTTAAATAAAAATATAAAAACTGAAAGTTTAATGCAGTTGTGTTGTTACACGTTTTTAAAAATATATTATTCTTGTCAGGAATCAAACAAGCTCATATTGTGGGTCCCTTAGTTGTTCAAGTATTGCCTCTAATCTCATTTTATTAATTGATAATAATAATAT